GATGGAGAAACGCCTGGTTCATACATTGCCAATAGGCAGACAAATGAACATTTCCTTTGTCTGGGCCAAGACGCAGGCAAAGGAATATCTGTGTTGTATTCTGATAAGGTGGTAAAAGAACCTTTACTTTTGTGTGCAGGTCATTTCTTTCCTGATGTAAAATGAAATTCTTTCAAGTTCACATAAAGACATTACTGTTGAAATCTTGTGGGGTGGAAGTGTTAGTGATATAACATTTCCGGGTGCGTTTACCTCACTAAGGGAAGTGAGAGGATAGAGTAGTTTTGTGGCAGCAGAGAGACTGGTGGGAAGTAAGGGACTCAGTATATTAAGGTGCATAGCAACCGTGTGTGTGTGAGCTTTGCTTATTTATTTTACCTTTCGAGTTTAATATAATTTTCTCCCAAAAGGGCCAACATTGTACTAGTGCAGGGAGGAAAAAAAAAAACAGTATTATTTAATTCCAATTCATTATTCATTCACAAAAAACAAACAAACAAACAAACAAACAAAAAAACAGTTAAAAAAACAAAACGAAACTGTGTATATGCCTGATTCTAGGAAGTTATCCCTGTGGGAAGAATACTAACATGAAAGGCTTGGAATTTTTTTTTAACTATGAATTATGGAATCTTAATCATCATCCCAGTTCAGCCAGTCCAACAGCAAGTATCTCCTGGAGCACATAAAGTCCAGTTTTTACTACAATAGCCAATAGTCTCCATGGGCTTTCACACTAAAGACTTGAAAAGGATTCTCTCTTCTCATCTCCCCATCCATACCTTCCGCCTCATCCTAAGAGTGAGTTTCCTTTGGTCAATCCATATCCTTTAGTGTAGGAACCCAAGTTATCCAGTTTTAAGGGTTCATTCCAGTTGTGGGTTTAGAACATTTCCCACTACATAATGGGAACATCATGTCATTCTCTCCGTGGGCTTTCTGTAGAGCCAAGGATTAAATGATCAGGGTTCTTTTTTAGAACTCAGTCTTGGAAAGCCAGTCATCGCTTGGCAAGCCAGCGTAAGAATTCTGCCAGAGGCACGTCTCTCGTGCTGATGGAGACATTCAACTTTAGATTACCTCTTCTGCCATAGCTGAATGCTGTACTCACTTTCACTGTGCATGACGCAGGTGGACAGTGGTTCTGCAGTGGCCCTGTTGGATGATGGCAGTTATTTTGAAGTGGACAGGGCAGGGGTGATACACAGCATTACCATCAGGTACATGATACTGATTGCTTGTGGCTAAGATCCATCCTCTCTGGCTGAGGTTTCATTCTGGTTAGTTGGTACTCATGAGATTCTGGCTACTGGATGTTCAATATTTTGACTAATCACCCACATTCCTGATACAGATACACTGCATATTAGAATTATTATTGTTACATTTCTTTCTGAATTTATCTACATGTGACATCAAGAAAGTCTAATGAGATTTTTTTGCATGTTTTGTTTTAAAAGTTAGTTATATAAAGTACCTCCTAACCATTTCTTTTCATATTACCAAACATGTTTTTAAAATACCTATATAGAAAAGTAAAATGAAATACCTGTGCAGGCACCCTATTGTTTTAAAAGAAACTCACTCACTTTTCATGAAATAAAGTTGATTTTACATTTTTCTTTCATTAATATTTGTTATGCTTCTAGGCAGTTCTATACTTCTCAGAATCTTGATGTCTATTTTTACTCTCTGGCTAGAAAAAGGGGAGGTGTATTTGGTGTATTAATTGGGGTCAGGATCCCCCAAATCAAGATGCAATCTGAAGCCAGATAAGTCAGGAAGGGAAAGAACAGGTTGTAGTTACTAACCTGTTCATCTTAAGTGGGTTCTAGACCTCTAAACTCTCTTTAATTTTGGGGATGAAGAAGAAGAATAATAGGGCCTCCCATTTATTGCACCCGACTTACCTTGAGCATTGTGTTACACTTTGTACACAGTGGCATGTTTGAATCAATATGATAAATTTATCTTTGCATTCATCTGGGTTGGTCGTTGTGTTGTGCGATCTGATTACGTGGGGAACTCGGCCAGACACACCCCGCTGGCTGAGCCAGTCCCTCTTGTACTTGATGACCTGTGAAGGCCTGCTTTGCTCCCCACTGCGCCAGATCTTTCTTTCTTCTTTTTTATTTTCCAATTTGTTTAAAGACTTTATTTCAACAGCTGTTACAGCTTATTAGTCATCAAAATAAATCATCAGTGGCTGTGTTATAGTTTCTAGGACGTAAAGCAGCTTTAATTGCTCAGTTACTGCCATCAGACTCACCCCAGAAAGCTTTAGACTTGAGGTTGATAGTTTCTTTCACTGAGCCCTGCCTTGTGGCAGACAGTAGCAGAGGTATTTATAGAGGGTCCACGTTGCTCTGTTGCAAACCTTCTGACACACAGCTGCTCCAGGCGTTCTGGAATGAGAATTGGGTACATCTTTACATAGTGATAATATCACACTTTGGGAATGCCCGTGAGCAGTTGAGTCAAGTGAGTGACCAGACAGAGGACCGGCTGGGCCCTGTGGAGCTGACACACCTGGAGCCCAATATTGAGCCTCACCTTTGTTTGGATCCAGGAAAGTTGGGAAATGGGGAGAGAGTCTCCAGGGTGAGGACAACTTGAGGCTATCCCAAGTTCAGTTTAGAGGGGAACCAACTAGCCTATTGCGGTGGGACTGTGTGTGTGTAGGGAGGTGGAGGGAGTGAAAATACAGTTGTAATTGCCAGTGAGCAGCCCGCATACCCTGAGGTTCCCAGAAACAGTTGCCCCCCACCATAAAAGGGCTAAGATGCAGAAGCCAGTGGTGCTCAGATAAGGCAGCCTGAAGGGGCTCCCTGTGGTTGCTGCCTATTTACACCTCGCTTGCAGTTCTTCTTGGTCATTCCCACTGTGCAGTCCTTCATAACACGCAAAACCCCCGGGTCAGGGGTTCTTTTGCACCTTTCCAGTGACAGCGAAAGGAAGCGGGGAGTCCTGCCATTCTTCCCGGCGTTCTCGTCCCAGAGATACTAAGAGCGCCCTCTTAGGGTAGAAACTGGGGACTTAGACCTGTATGCTAGAATAATGCCTGCTTCTAAGCAAGTCCTTGGTAAATACCGTTTACTAAATGAGAGAATTTGTAAGGTAAGGGATTAGTATGTATTCGGGGCACTGGGCTCTGCCTCATTTTCAACCTTCTGTTGCCTCTGCTTTCTCTTCTCTCTTTCCCCGTCACCTCCACTAGGGGTCTCTCAGCTGCTCATCGTGGTTCTCATCCCTGTGGGCCCGCTCCTCTCTTCTCATCCCCCACCTCACCCAACCCCGGCCTTGTCTGTCACATCTTCCAGAGGTCTGCATGGGCATGCGGCCCCCGAGACAGCACACAGAGCTTGGAGGGCGGACGTGGAGGTGCCCAGGCTGTTTGTCCCTTCCCTGGTGTCCATTTGGAAAATCTCAGTGAGCATCACCCTCCTGGACTTGGACCAAAACAAAAAGTATCAAATATTCATATCCTGAATTAATTTGCATTTTTCACTCTGTCCCTTGCCAAACACAGCAGTGTAGTTGCAAATTAGTTTTCACTTTCTCCATTAAGTTGATTCCTTTTTTATTGAGAATTGACATACAACACTATATTAGTTTCAGATGGACAAAATAATTCAACATATGTGAATATTGAGAAAGGATCACCACAATAAGTCTAGTTAACATCCATCACCTCATATAGTTACAATTTTTCTTTCTTGAGATGAGAACTTTTTAAATTCCTCTCTTAGCAACTTGCAAATACACAATGCAGTATTAACTATTAGTCACCATGCTGTACATTACACCCCATGACTTCTTTATTTTATTTGTTATTATTCCTGCAAGTCTGTATCTTTGGACCACCTTAACTGACCCCTCACCTCCAGCCTCTAGCAAATGGAAGGTCCTGTGGGGGTCCCTGCTCTCCTAAACCAATGGGAACGGTACAGAAGTCACTGCTGCCTGAGCAAGAACCGGGCTTACAGTGGCCAACTCCAGCAGGCTTCTTGTCATCGCGTGGCAGCCCCAGGGGATTCCTGCTCCCCACCACACCTGGGATTCCCTTCCCTCTTCTCTCCCTTGCCTCCAGTTTCACCCTTATCTCCTGGATCATTATTTCCTCCCAACCTCCAGAGCCTGGTTTCTCATAGGTTCAGTAGGAGAACGGGAGTCAGTGAAACCCTTCAGGTTTCCCATGCATGTCCGTTTTGCTCCTGGCTTGTCCCTAGATGGAACCCGCTTGGAAAGATGGGAGAGATGCTTACTATTTTCCAGGGCTAATACTAGAAAATGTGCCCAGAACAAGCTTTAGAAAACACAATTTTAGCACTTTGCATATATTAGACCCACATTTATTAAGTGTCTCCAAGAAGCTATGACCTCAAAATTTAAAGCACCGCACTGCCCCCCGCCCCAGTGTTGGGTTCTCCATCAGGTGGCCCCGTGGCTGCCGTAACAAGGCTCCACACACTTGGTGGCCTAGACACCACGGACACATCGCCTTTTGGCTGTGGAGGCCAGAAGTCCGCGATGGGCTGGGGTGCCACTCCCTCTGGAGCCTCTAGGGGAGCACCCATTTCCTCGCCTCCTCCAGCTTCTCGAGCCGGCCTGCGTTCTTCGGCTCGCAACCCCTCCTCCACCTTCAGCGCCCGTGGTATAGCACCTTCTAGTGTCTCTCTGACACTGCTTTTGTCGTCACATCTTCTTCACCAACTCTCTCCCTTCTGCTTCCCTGTCACGTATCAGGGCCCTTGTAATTGTATGGAGCGGACCTTGTCGTCCAGGCTAATCTCTTCATCTCAACATGTTTACAGGGGGACACCTGCAAAGTCCCCATGCCGGTAAGGGGACATGGTTACAGGTCCAGGGATTAGGGTGTGGATATCTTACAGGGGCCATTATTCGGTCTACCACATCAGGGAAGCCACACTGGCACATTGAGGCCTCTCTAAAAATGTGAATGTCAAAGTGCATTTTCTAATGTCTTGCTTTATTTTCAGATGCAGAGAGAAATGATTTATGCAAGAGGAGAGGGCCCTGGTGCCTCCCGACCTGGATCCACAGCTCATCCAGCCCATGCCCTTCCAAACTCGCCACCCTCCACTCCTGTGCCCCATTCCATGCCTCCCTCCCCATCCAGAATTCCATATGGGGGCACCCGCCCCATGGTGGTTCCGGGCAATGCCACCATCCCCAGGGACAGACTCTCCAGCCTGCCAGTCTCCAGATCCATCTCACCCAGCCCAAGCGCCATTTTGGAAAGGAGAGACGTAAAGCCAGACGAGGACCTGAGTGGCAAGAACATTGCGATGTACCGAAATGAGGGTTTCTATGCCGATCCTTACTTGTACCACGAGGGACGGATGAGCATAGCCTCTTCCCATGGCGGGCACCCGCTGGACGTCCCTGACCACATCATCGCCTATCACCGCACAGCAATTCGGTCAGCAAGCGCTTACTGCAGCCCGTCTGTGCAGGCCGAGATGCACATGGAGCAGTCACTGTACAGGCAGAAGTCAAGGAAATATCCAGACAGCCATTTGCCTACTCTGGGCTCCAAAACACCCCCCACATCTCCCCACCGAGTCAGTGACATGAGAATGGTGGACCTGCACACTCATCACAACGCCCATGGGCCCCCTCACACCATGCAGTCGGACCGGGCCTCACCCAGCCGCCAGGCCTTCAAAAAGGAGCCAGGCACCTTGGTGTACATTGAAAAGCCACGGACCACTGCAGGGTTATCCGGCATTGTGGACCTCGGTCCTCCTCTGGTGGAGAAGCAGATGTTTGCTTACAGCACCGCTACGATACCCAAAGACAGAGAGACAAGGTAAGGTGCTGAGGGGGGCCGAGGGCAGGCTGTGCCTGGGTGTTGTTGAGCGCGCTCTTCAGAGGTCAGGCCAAGAGAACGGGTGTCAGCTGGGCACCGGCCTCGTGCAGCGTGCCCTGCGGAGGCTGCAGAGGGCACAGAGCAGGATCAAAGGCCATCCTTGTCTGCGGCTTCTAAATTGTTGGGGGTCGAGTGAGCAGGCCCATGGCAGTACTAACGGCGGACAGGCACCCCAAGAGTGGTTGGTGTGGGTCACCCGAGCGCCATCATTACCTACAGCTAAATAATTTGGAAGAAAATTGTGGTTAGCGGAAACCATTCAGACAAATAAATCAAGAACTCGTGCTTGATTGGCCACAGAAAATAAGGAGTGAGTGGTTCCAGGTGTAGCTGTTTGAAATGATTTGTGTTTTTCCTTGTGTGGTGAAATTTTGTTTTCTCATCTGGTTTGGGGAAATGGAAAGAATGTGTTACAGGCTGTGTCATCTAGAATGATAAAACATGAATTTGCATAAAAATAGGATGGTTTAGATTTACTACTCATTTCAGAGTGGTACTGAGATCAGCAAAATTATCTGGTGAATGACATGCAGGGCATTTTCCTTTCTTTTTTAATATAAATATTGTCATAATTTTCCACTCTAGAACCTTCCTACTAGACCTTAAAAATTCTCCAAAGTTCATATAGTAATAGAAAGGCTAATTTTGATAGAGGGACTTTATCTAGCCTGAATTGGTTAAAGGAAATCAACGTAATAATTATAATGATAAAAAAAATCTAGTCAAAGAAATGGAGTCCAAAAAGAAGGTGAAGACTTTTACCAGAGAAGTATGAAAAATAAGATCTAGATATTTAATCATTCAGTACCTTATAGGACCCAGTGTTACCTACTCCTCACTAAAAGTGGTAATGTCACTTATTACTATGACATAACCCTATATTTAAAAAAAAAAAAAAAAAAAACGCAAAAAAAAAGCCAAAATTGTGAATGAAATATGAATGGTCTTTCTGACTTTCTCACACACAAATCAGAAAGCCCTGTCCTCATTGGCAGAATTTGACCTGTTCAGGCACAGAAGAGAGACTCCTGGAGGATGGGAAGGGACAGACAGGGAAGTTTGGGGATCATTAACGCACTGACAAAGTCTAATCCTCTCATACAACTGAAATAACCCAGCAGGTTTGACTGGCCTAAAAAAAGTTAAGGCTTGGGAAACAATATTTATTCCCTCCTTTCCAAAGGCCTTAGGAAGTAAAACTCTAAGAATCAAAAAAAAAAAAAAAAGGGAGACTTCTCACGACCATGGACAGCTGAGGGGTGTGGGATCAATACTGAGGCTTATTAGAACAGACCAATGTCACAACTCAAGGGACCTTTACCAAGATGTGCCCTGAGGCTCACAGGTTTGTGCCTTGTGCTTTGAAGAAGGGGTAACCATCCTCAGGTGGGCTGTGAGGGGCCCGTGGGCAAAAACGAGTCACTTAGGGGATGGGACTTGGAGTCCTAAGAATGTAGTACAGGAAATGATAAAACTACTCATCTCCAGGCTATCATGTGAAGGCCAGAACCCATCCTCCCACCAGCCCCACCTACTCCGTGCTGACTTGCCTTGTGGGTCGAAGAGGACTAAGAGCTTGATTCCACTGTGGATCACAGTAGGCGGTTTCCACCCTGCTGGGCTGTAGGCAAGTTTTCTTCACGATGGTGCCTGGCTCCTTCCCCAGCGCCTGGCTCCATGTCACGCTTGCAGTTACCACGTGTGTATAACTAAATGAGCACCACTGAGCCCAGTGTTTTCCAGGACTTAGTTATGGGAGGGAAAAATGAAGGAACCCTCTGCTGGTATGTGGAGTCTTCTCACTATTGGATCAAAGTCTTGAAGAATTTTAGCTTTAATCGGTAACAGAATTCTTTTAGGGCCTCTGCTTTCTCTTTAGGTTTCTATTTTACCGACACTCAGAAAAACCCAATGCATTTCTGTTTTATGTTAGAAACCCTTGTTAGAAAATCTGATTTATCTTATTTCTAGAATAACACATATTAGAAAAATCTGTTGAAAAAGATTAACGTTCACCTAAAATATCCTGTTGTTATCGCTACCATATTCTGACATACGACTGTAATGATAAACATCATTTGATATTTTTGCATTCCCTGAAATGTGAAATAGCAGAACAAGAATTTTATCTCACGCATCTGGCCTAGGTGATTCCTCACCTAGTAATCTGCTTATCTCCAGGGGGTGGAATTGGAGTGCTTGTATCTACATGAGCAGGCTAGATTCCCTTCTCCTGTAGGCACACACACCCCTCAGCCTTTAGAGTCCCCGTCACTGAAACACCTAACCATCCTCAGTCCAGGCACATGATAAAGTGTTTAAAGAATGATTCTCTAGTAAAAAGAACTTGATTCTGGAAATTTTGCTATCGTCACTCCCACCCATCACCCCATAGTTACCTGGTTGACTTCTCATCAACTATAATTCTGAACACTTTTAGAGAGCTTAATGGCTGGAGTGAAATGTAGGACTGCTTGGCACTACATTTATAAGTACTACTGTTTGAGAAAGAATGCAGATGGTAGCTAGCTTTTATTGGGAGCCTTTTAGGGACCAAACACGGTGTGAAGTGGTTTCTGTACATCATGGGATGTAATCATCATGACCCACTGAGGTATGTACAGTGTCATCCCAATTTTACAGATGCAGAAACTGAGCTCAGAGAGGTTAAGTAACTTGCCACTCAGTGGCATAGAATGTCCAAGTGCATTAATGCACCCTTACCTTTGCCCGTGAGCCATATTCTGCCTGCTGAGTCAGAACTGTGAGCCCCGCCTGCACCCAGAAGAGAAGTTTTTTCAACCAGAGCATTTCAACCAGAATTTTCCAAAAGTGGCTTCAGGACTAGATGCTAAATGACTGCTCCTAAAGGATATTTACAGTCATAATCATGGTAGAATTTGCATAATTATGCTGTAATTTGCATAAATATGTACATGCCATTTAAAACATAACTGCCCTAGCTAATAGATTAGCACAAGTATGCAGAAATAAGGACAGAATACAGAGAACATTCTTGGTAGATTTTATTTTCAAAAAATGAATGTGAGTACTATGTCAATGAATTTTTTTAAAAACAAGATCATAAAACAATTACTGAAGCACAAAATTGTAGTCCATTGTTTCACCTAGACTGTGATGTTATTTTGGATATATTTAATCTGTGGAAGTATTTGTAAATACATCTAGCTTCATGGGTATAAAGCTCTATAAAGTGCCAAACCAATTTCTGTTGCAGTTTCATGATGTTAAAAAGCAAATAAATCTGGGAGTACTTTTTATATAAAACTCTGAGGTGAACTTTTACATCTAAAGCGTGAAGCTACAAAAACACAGGAGGGAGACGGAGAAATCTGTAGCGATGCTTTCTCTGGGGCACAGCTAGGTTCTGATGCTGTTCAAAGAGCTCTCTGGGCAAGAGCCCGCATCACTGCAGGATGTTTGAAATCACAGAGAGAAAATCCGTTCTTTCCCATCTGTACTCAGGAAACTTCCAACAGTAGCTTTTTTTTTTTTTTTGAGGGCACATGATTTTATAACAGCCCCATTGACTTGAAAATGAGTTTAAAGTAATTTCATCTTGATTCTTATATTTAGATATGTGCCTTGATTTAATAAATTTGGCATCTCTTTTTTTTATAAAGGTGCTTCCACAAAGCATTGAGTAATGACAAATTATACATAGAAGATCTGGGAAAAAGTAGCGCAGATAGGAGACAGGTATGTTGGTAGGGATCTCCTCCCAAGATGCCCACGGACTTTGGGGTGGAGGAGCAGATTACAACTGCTTCGACCTCAGTACAGCAATTCTTGTGTCTGAGCTTCTAGAAAGAAAAGAAAATGCTCCCAAGTGATGAGGTGGCTTTACTCGGATGACTTCCCTTCAGTGGGGCTCGGAGAAGAGAGGGTCCCGGTGACTGTTAGGAGTGCTGAGGGAGACGGTGTGTGACGGCCGACGGTACACGAGGCTCTCTCTTCCCTCGGTCATAAAATTACTGCATTAAATAGCACCATCATTTCTATTCATGGCACATAAAACAGCCCTTAGGAATTATAAAATTCTAGGACATTTATGTTTTGCTATCATCTGCAATATCTTTATCGAAATAACTCTAAAAATTCAAGGGTGCTCATTTCAAGGTGACTGATATCTCGCCTTCCAAATTCCTCCTAATGTAGTATTTTTCAAAACAGGGTAAACTTGAACTAAGATTGTATCTCACTAGTCTGCACCTACAGTAGCTAAATTCAACAAACTAGTTGAGAATGCACAGAGGCAGATCCTTGCCCTGTCTGGACATGTGTATCTGGAGAAGAGAAGCCACATGAGGTCCCTCTGTCATTTCTGAAACATCGCAGATTTAAAGAAGCCAAATCTCTTGTCTTGAGCCAATTAGAAAGAAGGGAAAGGAAAGATTCTGTGTGCAGAAGGGAGCCTGCATGCTAACTGGTAGCCTGTGTCTGTTCTTAATCATTTTACATCATTTTCTCATTTTACGGGGATTAAGTGTTACTGTGTTGGTAGCTTTGAGGGGTGGGATGCATCCTTGGTTTAGCAGTTGATGGAGTGAAAGTCTGTCTAAATGCAGATTTGTGTCATTTAAACATGTTCACAGCAACAGACATGCCTCCGAAGATTTTCTAAGCTGTACTTTATCCTGCTGCCAAGCTGAGTCTGAATGGTCACACAGAATGATCCGTGTTTCCTTGTCCCGCATGTTGTCAGAAGCGAGCACATCAGAGATGTCCTAAGTGGTTAGACTGGCATCTTCCTAAAGCAACGTGTCCTTAACTTGTTCTCTATTGCTACTTTGGGCCTGATCATTTGGGGGGTTCTCTTGTTATTGTGGGGTGTTTAGTAGCATCTCCATTCTCTACCCCCCTAGATACCAGTAGCAAACTACCCACCCCAACCAACCCTGCCTCAGTCATGACATCAA